GACATTTGCCTAGTGACATTGAAAGTAGACACGAAAGTGGATGAATAATGACATAAGTGAAACTAAATTTTGTATACATGGGTGTTTGAGAAACTTGCAGCTTCAGAAATGTGCAGTTATTGATAAAATTTGTTATATACATACACGTAATACTTTTGATAAACCTACGCTAATCCTGTCAAACAATACTTCGTCGCAGGAATCGTATCTCATTTCGCAAAAAAAATGTCAAACAAAATTAAGAAACGTTGGTAGTAACAGTTATCACGAAGTTGTAAACAGCTCCTGAATATGTTTAGGATGTCTTAATTTTATTATATAGCCTAAATGTATCATTATCCTTGACTATATATTCGATCCCTATATATCTATTTCTCTGTCCATGGGAAGTTATTTTATTTCTCACGCTTGTTAGTGACAAAGATCCTTGGATTAAATGGAATTAATAGTTATATTTACCCCAAACTCATGTCAATGTCCTTAGACATGTGTTAAAAGAACGCTAAAATGTCACACTTTGGTTGCTACTTAAAGATGGAATAAAACTTACAATAATAACATTTCCTCATTAAAGGTTTTCAATTCCTTTATTTAATTTTACAAATCTTCGCTAGCACTGTTAGTACTGGTATTGATCGAAATAATTTCTTATAGATTGCAATCGTCGAAGTCTTAATGACATCATCCCGCATTTAACAACGTCTTAATGAAGCCCATCAATGGCAGCTGAAATTCGGATTTGCGCAACTTCTGACGTAAGAAACATGCTTTTAATTTACAAGTGCGCACGTTTAAACCTGGGTATGCTGAATAATCATTCTCAAGCAGCAAACTAAATAACCTTCAGTAAATTTCCTTCCGACTGCACTTGTATTGCGAGTTTATCTGACTAGATTAAAACATCGTGGTGATATGACTGAAAAATTGTAAAAGTTAAGTAAAAAATCCAAATCACACACGGAGCGCGGTCGGCAATTTTGACATTGACATTTGCCTAGTGACATTTGGCATTGACTTTTGCCTAGTGCTAATTAACAAAACGCTTGAACTAACATATTGCATTGGGTATTAAGTGTCCCAGATTCAATAATTCTTTATAAGCCTGTTGGCCGAAGTTGTTAAATATGTGCGAGACATGCAAATTGTATTTCTTGTATGTTTTAATGAAAGGAAAATTAAACTCAGACTGGATAATGATAGTGCAACCAGTAGAAAATAAAATAAGAAACGTATTAACAGAGGCAAGATCTTTTATATACAAAAAAACTGCTTGGGGGGAAATGATTTAATTAGACTGAGGTTTTAAGATCAAATGAAGTACAAGTCTTCGTGTATTAAATCAAAGTCAAGACGTCTATTCTAATCAAATCGTTCACAGAATCGTAACCACGTAGGGAGAATATTCTGTGGCAAAACGTTTACAGTCTTGCTGTAACTATTTATGTGGGAATAATTCAGTCATGCTGTTAGTCTTGCTTTCACAGACGTCACGAGTGCATACGCAAATACCCACAATGCAATACGCACACACCTTGAACCGCCATTTTGAGTCCCAAAAAACCTTTTCATAAATTAGTCATCATGTATATTCAAGATAATCTAATTTAATTGTCGATAAGGATACTTACTTAATCTAAATAATACACAAATTAAACTTGATATTAAGTGCCCCTATAGAACCAAAAATATAAATAGAACTGAAAGTTCCTTGAATTTTATCGAAAGCCAGAAAAGTGAGTTGAACCGTAATAGCGCATTGCTATAGAAAAGAAATGCAGTATTTTTTTGTTGTGCAAAGAGACAATATTGGCATATTAATAAATATCTTGTACGATGTCACTAAGCTTTTGTGACAATGATCTTCGGGATACAACATCAGTTACGGAAATATTTTTTTATAGCTTGTATGTTATGTTATGTTATGACTGATCCTATATCTACAAATAATCTTTTCGAAACCAGGTGCATGTGCCTAAGACAGCTGACAAACCGATTTTAATTAGTACGGTAAAATATTGTATCTGTGGTGGAGATGATATATGTAGAATTATATTGAATGAAAGCGATAACCTTTCAAAAAATTCATCTTCGGTGTATTATAACAAAACATGTGCCTAACGAAACATGACTTTGTGTCGAATGTCCAACCAGACAATTCTGAAATGATTTCAGAGATCAGAAATTATGTATTAACCATTGGCTTTTTAACTTGAATGATAACCAAATGATTGATTTTAGATCATGAAAATTGAAAATCGTTACATGCTTCTACTTGTTTGTGTATCCATTTGTGATTGCTTCTGTTTATTGACGGATCTGTTTGTTTATGCAAGAATAAGAAAGATGGCTGAAATTTCAATGTCTTACTTGTAGGAAAAGGGGAAAAGTCAAGCATTCTGTCTTGTGCGGTTGACATGCACAACAGAATGTGATGTATAATTATATCCATAGGCACAAAATGATACGTATCTTTATAATTATGTGGCAAGAACAATATTGTTAGGTGCCGGTTTGAGTGGCTGGGGAATCAAAATGACGGATATGGAAGGACACATGTTTTGTGGCGTCACATAAAAACAACGGTTATTTCAATTGGAATGATGTACAGCATAGCTGTAATTGTTTCAATGGGAATAATTTACAGTCTTGCTGTTACAGTCTTGCTGTAAATATTTCAAGTGGATGAATTTACAGTCTTACTGTAATACTTTCAGTGGAAAGTGTTGTATAAAGAGTTTACAGACCAGCTGTAGCTATGTCAAAACAAGCTTACAATCTCAAATACTATTTTAAATTTTAATGTAGATCTATATTATTACTGAATATTTGGCGTGTGAACTTCACGTCATCTCCATATTTTCTTGAAATAGAGAATCAACAGCAGAATATTTTAGATACATTTATGATCTTTTCCTACGTGATGAACTTTACCTTTGCAGTAACTATCATACAGTTTTTTTACTATTCAGTTTTGGCACTTGGTTGTAATGCTATCCCTACTGCATTAAAATGTGATGTATTCTTATCTGTAATCTGAATAGGAATAACATACATAATGCATTCGTTCTATCTACCTAGCAACCTGTCTGTTTATCTAACCATATATCTTTTTAGCTCTTCATCTATCTACACACACACACACACACACACACACACACACACACACACACACATATATATATACATATCTGCAAATGTACATTTTTCCTCTTTTATAGTTTGAAGCACACGTACACAAGTTCTGATTTTGTTTTTATCATTGTAACGATGCCGATCGGAAGAAACGCAAAGACAAATATTATCTCATTTTATAGTGTTCGGTAGTTGAATTATAATTTCATATAATTTGAGCCCAAAATGAAATGATACTAATAATAATTTGGAAAAGAAACCGAAACTGAAACGCATTAGAATTATTTTTCAAATGCTAGGTAAAGAAACCGCCATGAGACACTTTTAAATTGTACATTTAAATGGTAGTTGTACAAATTTTAGTCAGCCACATGTACAAAAAGGATGATTACATTCTGTTGTGACCTTTGACTAAATTTTGTTAAGCATGCAAATGTCCAGGTATTACATAACTGAAGAGAAATACATCATTAAGTCCAACCATTTACTCCTGAGAAATATGCTTCAGTAAATAAGTACGCCTTAAGAAATAAAATGTTATTTTGCATCAATAAATTAATTAACATTTTTAAATTATAGTTAAACAATAAATTAACATTTTGAGATAATAGTTATAAGATTGTAGACGAATGGTGTTTCTCATTTGTCGAATTCGATCTTTAGTCGTAAATTATTTATGAGAGAAATAATGTTTATCTTCAGGTCTTCATTAAAGATGCATGTTTTGATTGGCTATTTTTCAAAGTGACATAGTGTGATGGGTAGGGAAAATACCATCAGTCGTGTTTCCTCAAAATATACATGAAATTGTGTGGTTATTAATAGTTGCACTTATATGCTGTGAATCAGTCTCTGAGTTGTGCGATCTTAAAGCTTAAACAGAATTGGGAACTCCAATCATCATTCAAGTTTAGAATTTTCTATTAGAATACTAGTCGTAGGTATGATTTGTCAGATGTAGTAATCTATGTTCTCTCTATAATAGTATTGTAAGTGTTCTCTGGTATAGTATTCTATGAGCTTTCTGATATAGTACTCTGTGCTTTCTGTTATAGTAATCTATGTGTCTCTGATATGTGCTTTCTGTTATAGTTATCTATGTGCTTTCTGATAAAGTACTGTCTGTGATTTGTGATATAGTACTATATGTGTACTATATGTGCTCTCTGGTATAATAATCTATGTGCTCTCTTATATAGTAATCTATGTGATCTCTGGTTTAGTAATATGTTCTTTCTTGTATAGTAGTCTATGTGCTTTCAACTCTTTGTACTTTTTGTATGGTATTCTATGTTTTCTATTATAGTAATTTATTAGCTTTCTGATATAGTGATCTGTGTGTTTTCATATATAGTACTCTATGTGTTTTCAGGTATAGTAATCTGTGTGCTTTCTGCTATAGTGATATATATATATATATATATATATATATATATATATATATATATATATATATATATATATATATATATATATGCTTTATGATATAGAACCCTATGTGCTATCTGATATAGTTCTCTTTGTGCTGTTTTTATGGTACTATGTGTTTTCAGTTATAGTAATGTATGTAGTTTCTGATGTAGTGATCGGCGTGCTTTCAGATATAGTTCTCAACGTGCTTTCTGCTGTGGGTGTGATTTAGATTTGTAACGCAGCTTTAACAATATTTCAGTCATATCGCTACGATATCTGCAGTGTTACAATTTATAGTGATGTCTAGCACGGGGCATCATGCCGCAGACATGTGGCATGATGTTCCCACCAAGTCACATTATCCTGACACCAGGCCTACCAGTCCTGACACCATACTCTTAATGATGAGCTCCAAGCTAAGCATCTGTTAGTACCATTATTGCAAATAATTGGTATGACTCGGCCCGGGTTAGAACCCGCGATCTTCCGCATCCGAGGCGGATGCTCTAGCCACTAGGCCTCCTGAGCGGTCAATGCTTTCTGGTATAGTAAGATATGTTCTTTCTGGTAAAGTAACATATATGCTTTCTGGTATCGTACTATATGTGCTTTCTGGAATAGTACTCAATGTACTTTCTGGTATAGATAGTACTAATTGTGCTTTATGATATAGTACTCAATAAGCTTTCTTATATAATACTCTGTGCTTTATTGTATTATACCCTATATGCTTTATGTTATAACAATGTATATGCTTTCTGATATAGTGATCTGTGCTCTATCGGATAAAGTACCCTACTTGCTTTTCTTTCTATTGTGATATATAGTCCATCACAAAGCAAGTAAAGGAGACATAATGGAGGACATCAGATCCACAATCATCACGATTCAGTTGAGGTGTGTTAAAAATTTAAAGTCTCCAGCTTGGCAATGTTGAAAAAAGCATTACAAGTTTATTATGCAAAGGACGTGAAACCCTTTATACCAGAATACATTGGCCTTCATTTATGAAAGTCAAAAACAAAGGTTAAAATAATTATTAAACACCAGCATGTGTGCGTGCAAGACTGATGAGTTGCTTGTAATCAATACCAATGTGTTATAATCGAGTGCTGTTTGCATTTCGTGGCAGAGCTAGACCATACAGAATCGTGATATGTTGTAGGTCAACAGCAAGCAATCAGCAATATAAATATTTGATGATCATAAAAATTATCCGTCATTACGTGCAAAAGGTCCACAAAAAGCAATTGTAATTCTAACCTGTATGTAGCACTATAGAGTGTAATTGGATAGTTAGTTAAGACGTGTGATGATAAAGTTTTGTCTGATTAACAGCATATTTTTACTGCTTTATCCAACTCTTATGTGTTGAGATCTCACACATTGCTTTAAGATTATGTTCTCTGATTGTACATTTCTGAACATGGCATTTTATCAATAATTGAACGAACATTAGTGGCAATTTTAAAGAGAAAGTAGCAAAGGTTTTCCTGCGCTTCTTTAATAATTCTTTTACATATGAAAATTTGTAGAACGATCACCTTAAAGTTATATTTGTTACCAACTGCTATAATAGAACTAACAATGATTATTTACTGATTTCTACAGAAAACTGTAAATGGTATGACTTTTCAGCACACACAAATGTATGTGAAGATTCGTGATAAATTATGAATATGATCACATGTCTTGATAGTATTGTCTCCTGTCTCTTCCGTAAATACCGTTTAACATGGAACCGAATTTTCCTACCATCTTTTCAACGGTTGTATTTAGGTTACATTCTATAGACGACTTTCATAAATTCTCCTTCCTTGCATTGGTTTTTATGAAATTGCTTTACTTGCTATCTTCATTGCTTTCATACGTATCGTAATTTCTCTTAACTTTCTCAGGTCTGAAAAAGCCTTCCGCATTATGCGCAAGTGAACACGCCACAAACTTCTTTCGCTAACACTACGTCGTGATGACATACTGAATGTATTTATAACTGATCTGTGAATAAGATTGTTGGTAATATACTCAACAAAGTAAATACAATTACATCCTTTTGAATACTACATTTCGAAATTAATATGGACTGGTATGTCTACTTAAATATGTAGATATCCACTTTAGGCTCAAAAATACTTTTGTGAACATGAATACTTTCCGGAGCTTAAATTTGCACACAATTTAACTCCGGAAAGGCCAATATTTTTCATTAAGAGAAAAAATTAGCTTACCTAGTCATTTGTGTTTGTTTATTTTTTTTTTCATACAATTACTTTTAAATGAGCTTAGAGATCTCGTCGAACCAATCAAAACAATAACACGCAGAAATGAATTTAACTGTTTTTGAGGATGTACGCTTACCATGCACACAATGCGGGTAAAACTGCATAAGTATCATTTTCCAGTCGATAAGCCTTGAGACAGAGGATGAGAAAGATATTTTAGCTTATGGAATCGTTAATTTAGATAATTGTATAAAATTCAGTCAATCACAAGACTAATATGAAGATATATTACACTGCCTCAATGCATCTATTAGCTTTTAAAGTAATATATGTTGGTATCAAAATATCCAAAATAATTTTCTTCATAAAAGGAGGTATTTCGATCCGTCTCAAGCGTTCATGTTTATTTCTCTTCGTCACTTGATATATTTTTAGATAAAATGAAATAACTGTGTTACCTTTATGACAAAATGGCTCAGTTAATATTTTAAAATAATTATTATTATAATATTAATAATGTCTCATAATTTAGCATTCTTTGTGAAGTTCGTTATGAGTGAAGCATCAAATTGTGTTGTACTAATCTGCAAATCCTATAAATTCGTGGTTAAGCATTTATAATTCATTCCAAATAAGGCTTAGGAGTTGTTCCTTTATACACCAAACACACACACACACACACACATTATTTACTCCAGTGTCCGTCAATAGGAGATTATATGTCAGCTGCTAGCTTTCTGCTATTTTTGGATAGTTTAAATATATGTAAAGATGTTTTCTTAAATAATTATTAATCAACTTTAAAGAAGTCTTTAAAGGACTACCATTTGTCGTTTACCTAAAAAAAAACTTACAGTATCAACTTATGCGCGCCCAATGGAACGCAATCTCGGTGTAATGTGTGAGAAAGTATTGGATCTTACAATTGAATACATTGTGCATTAAAATTTTATTACGGTCAAGTCAGTAAGATCTTTGTGAAGGGTCACTTCGACTTTTTCTCCATGTCAGTTGTTAAAGTTGAAAGGCCAGCATCTACGGTTCATTTAGAATTGATCCGGGCATCGTAGGAAAGTAAACTTTAAATTTGCCGACCAGAATCTCTTGATGGGAACATGATGTCAAATAGTTATTTAATAAAGGGGAGCTAGTATGCATTGTATTTCTCAGATTCTAGGCTGTCAAAATCTGACGAAAGAAATAATTATATTGGGGAAAAATTAGGAACCCCTGATTACGATTGGTCAGTTTAAGAAGTTTGGAAGTAATATTGAATTTCAAGTGACGACCTTTGTCGAATGTCTTAAGTCCGATATTTCCTGCGAGAGGACAAGGCTCGTTTGACTCCAGGGAAAAACTAAAGAATAATGCTTTCCTCGCTAAAACATGTAAGGGGACAGGTGGCTGTCTTGTAAGAAAAGACAGGCATTAGTGTTAGGACGTACAATTTCTGTAAAGAACAGCATTAAGGGAAACAGCTCTCTGGAAAAGTCGGAAATAGTCCGAAAGACGGAAGTCCGGGAAAGAGATGTAGCAGTCAGAGCAGAAAGATCAAAAAAGATTAAACGTATACACGTGAAGGTGGAAAGACGTGCTATACAGGGAGATAGACAGGAAGCGACGCTAGGCGATGCAAGTCAGGCGTGGACATTGTGGTCTTTTCACTAATCGTTATCATGACGAAATCAATCCATGATAGTAAAGGTTGCCCTCAAGCTGAGTTTTGGGTTGTGGGGGATTGAGAGTGGGGTACTTCCAACATTTTATTTAAATTTTTGAAGAAGTCCCACCCAGGCTCGATTTTGGTTCGAAATTGATTTAGTGACGGGTAGACGTACAGTTCCGAGACCCGAATCAGCAATTAAATGATTAAAGATAAAAAAGGGTGAAGTTCATTAATACCAATTTAATAATAATTAAATGGCCAATAATTCGAATTTCCCAAATATGCTTCTTCCGCTCGACCCTTTAGCAACCTATCGTATCATTTAATTCGTAGTTCGAGAGATTTCCACTTATTCTTGTGTTCTAATTATCTGCGTATTCTTCTCTACTTCCTAATTCCCTCTCTTCCTTTCTGACTCCCTCCATGTTCCTTCTCCTTTTCTTCCTCTATTTCCTCCTCCAGACTACTTTCTTTCACCTCCACCTTCTATCTCTCTTATCTATGTCGACTACACGTTGTCGACTCCGACTGCTATGCCAGTCTCACTTCCGTCTCTCTCTTGGAGAATTGGGACTATTAAAACTTGAACCGGAAGTTAGGTCCCCGAAAAGCTTCATGTGAAACTACAACGATGGTACAATATTTTCCTCAGCGCTCTCATCTCACACTACACACAGCCTATCATCAGATAATTGCTATTAAATTCCACAAGTCACGGATTCATTCACACCGAAATGCGCATACGTTCGTGTATGGCAAAACACAACATAATAAAAACACGGTAACAATTACTCATATACATACAAAAATAAATTGATTCACATCAGTACATGTTCATAATCGCATTATACTGACAATATCACTATATTCAGACGCATCTCTTACATTACAACTCAGACAGAATATCCAAATATTCAAATATCCATGCTCTGATATATTCACACATCTATTGTAACTAATCTTACATACTTCAATCATTTACCCAAACTCCAATTCAAACATGCGTAAACTAGCATAGCGCATTACTAACTGTACTGGTTACTACGAAGTAACCTACCAGCGAAATACAATTTTAATTCTGATGAGCTAACAATCTACACAATTATCTATGTAAACTCAAATTCATGTTGCAAATACGCATATAAATGAAACACTACAAGGTAATTATACATACTAAAATAATCTCAGTAATTTTCTAATCTTATATTTCTGGTCCTAAGATTTCCGCCAAATGATGAGTGCCCCCCCAACACGAGTAACCATAAGGTTATATAACGGCTAGATCTACTGATTATTTTACTGCGAGTTTGACCCAAGCAACGTAGTGGACAATGTTTTCTCGTTGTCTGTCCTTGTAGCGGGTAGGAGCACGATCCGTTCACCATGCGGGCTTCCTTTGATCTCTGAACTAATATTTAATGCCTGGGTGTGAATGCTACAAGCCTTTGACTAGCGGCTCCTGACGTTATGACGTTTGGCTGGCGATCTACTGCAACTTGCATAAGGGATTAACACTGCCTGCGACGATGTTTGCACATCATGCGCGGTATTAATACCCAAGTATATGCCTTTCCTGATAACTGGACTGAGCAATCGTGACAATAATAGAACACTGCTATTGACATTCTGTTAGCATACAT